GAAATTATGAATGTGCACAAGCATTTAACAACGGTAATAAATGTGCTATCCCTGTTCTAAGCATCTTACTTAGTAATCCCCTTAACCAGCCAGCAACCCTAGAACCCTGGAATTAGCCTCATTTTATGTTTGACAAAAGTGAGGGCAGGGACATTAATCAACTTGTATAGGGTCACAGAACTGTACAAACAGAGCCAAGATGTGAAACCAGACTGCCTGCCTCCATGATTGTGGTTGTGACCACTATGCCATATTGCTCCAAACATAACCACTGCACAAGTGCTATTTACATAAGAGATTGGAATACTTAAAATATCTAACAACAAGGAACTAGGTTTTTCAAAACTTAACCAAAAATACAGAAAATAATTCACCCACTTAAAATAATATTGTAGAATAGTTCTAACACAGGAAAACTTGTTCAATACAGGGGCACCTTGCTGGCTCAATCCATAGAGCATGCAACTCTTGATCACCAGATCATAAGTTCGAGCCCCAAACATGGTGCAGAGTTCACCAAAAATCAAAATAAAAATTTAAGGGGAAAAAAGGAAAACTTGTTTAATATAGTGTTAAGAGAAAAAATCTGATTGAGATATACATTTTAAAGAAAAATATTCTCCCATATGTTAACAATGGTAACTACTGGGTATTAAAATTATAAATGATTTTTTGCTCATATTTATTTTCTAAATGATCTAGAATATATTCCTTTTCAAAAAAAAAAGAAAATTAAAAATGGAATTTTTTAAAATTAAAAGAAAAACAAAAGGGAAATCTATCCCTAAATCTGCACTAAAAATTTCCTGACAAAACATATACAGATTGTGCTCCATTTGGGGAAAAAAAATGAAAAAAGGAAGAATAAGATTATAATGGTTAATCTTAAGTATCAAATTAAATGAGCTAAGGGATGCCCTAAGATCTGAGAAAATATTATTTCTGTGGATTCTGTGACCTTTGAGAATGGTATCCTCTCAATAATGTCTTCATATGTAAAACAGGATTTTCCTGTTTTCTTCTAGGAGTGGTATGGTTTTAGGTCTTACTTCCAAGTCTTTCAGTCCACTTCATGCCAACTTCTGTAAGGAGGATAAGATACAGGTCTGATTATATTATTTTTCATGTGGCTGTCTAGTTTTCCTAACACCATTTCCTGAAGAGACTACCTTTCTCCATTAAGTATTCTTAGCTTCTTTTTCAAATATTAGTTGATACATATTTGGGTTTATTTCTGGGCTCTCAATTCTGTTCACTGGTCTGTGTTTGTATCATACTGTTTTGATTACTATAACTGTGTGATATAGTTTGAAATCAGAAATTGTGGTATCTTCAGCTTTGCTTTTCCTTTATAAGACTGTTTTGGCTATTAAGGATTGTTTTTGGCTCCTTTCAACTATAGAACTTTTTTTTCTATTTCTACAAAAAATGGCATTGGAATTTTTACACAGGTTGCAATGAATTTATAGATGGCTTTAGGTATTATGGACATTAATAATATTAGCTCTTCCAATCCATAAAACTGAGATATCTTTCCATTTATTTTAGTCTTCTTCAATCTCTTTCAACAATATATAACAGTTCTCAGTGTACACATCCCTCTATTCCTTGGCTAACTTCCTAAATACTTTACTGTTTTTGATGCTACTGGAAATGGAATTGTTTTCTTTCTCTTTCAGATAGTTCACTATTAGCATATAGAAATGCAAGTGATTTTAATAAGTTGATTTTGTATCCTGCAACTTTACCAAATTTGTTTATCAGTTCTAAAGTTTTTTGGTGGTGTCTTTTGGTTTTTCTATAAATAGGATCTTGTTATCTGCAGAGACAATTTTACTTCTTCCTTTCTTATATGGATGTCCACCACTTTGACTAACTGCTCTGTCCAGGACTTCCAGTTTTTGTTCAGTAGGAACCTTGTCTTGTTTCTGACCTTGGAAGAAAAGCTTTCAACCTTATGTCATGGAGTGTGATGGCAGCTGGAGATGTGTCATATACGGTCATATGTCATATGTTGAGGTATGTTCCTTCTGTATCCAATCTGTTGGGAGTTTTTATCATAAAAGGATATTGAATTTTGTCAAATACTCTATGCATCTATTGAGAGGATCATATGATTTTTATCCTTTACTCTATTAATGTGGTGTATCTGCACCCCAGAGATATATCCCTCCTGATCATGATATATGATCCTTTTAATGAACTGTTGAATTCAGTTTGCTAGTATATTGTTGAGAATTTTTACATCAATATTCGCCAGGAATACTGGCCTGTAATTTTCTTACCTTGTAGTGTCTTTATCTGGCTTTGGTATCAAGGTAATGTTGGCCTTGTTAAAATGAGTTTGTGAGTGCTCTCTCCTCATCAATGTTTTGGAAGAATTGAGAAGGACTGGCATTAATTCTTCTTTGAATATTTGGTAGAATTCACCAGTGAAACCATCTGGCCATGGGCTTTTTTTTTTTTTTATTGGGAGATTTTTGACTACTGATTCAATCTCCTTAATCATTACTGGTCTGTTCAGATTTTCTTTTTTTTTTTTTTTTTTTTTTTTTTTTTTTTTTTTTTT